TCCCCCTGCTTTCTGAGGTGGGGGATCGCCTATTGAATCATCTCCCACATTTGTGTGATAAGCACAACACATTAAACGGGTTGTGAAGATTTTTCTGGATTTCTTAATGATTAAAACGTTTGCAATCTTACAAGGGAAAACAGTTTAAAAAGCCGTCAATACGCCACTCTGATGAAAGACTATGCATGAATTTGATTCACATTACAGATGTACATCTTTATCATGAACATCCGCCACCTGCATGGTGCCCCCTCCCCCGCTTTTCAAATTTCAATGGCCAGTTATCAGGGGCGGATCCAAGGGGATCGGCGTGGGGAGCCCCTCTGTTCTTTCCTCGCCCCCGAAAATGAATGAATAAATGAAAAAAGAAGAAAAAGAGGGAGAAGGGAAAAGGGGCGCCATAATGCCTGAAATTGCACCACAGAGCACCTAGGATCCAATCCAATCTAATCGGGTCCCGGACCCCAGTCCGTGAGAGCTTCGTGCAACCATTGCTGCTTTAGTTCACTCACACCCCCTTTTAGAAGATCAAGGATCACGCCCCATTTTAGGAAATCCAGGATCACGCCCCCTTATGGAAAATCCTGGAACCGCCCCTGAGGCAAGTCATCCTCCCACCTTTCCCCATTCCCCATCCCACGCACACAGCACAGCTTTACGCCACCGGTATCACTAGAGGCAGCGCTTCCATTCTATCCACCGACGGCAATTTAGACACAGTGCCTCCTTTTCTTGCAAGTCTAAATGTGCTAAAGCCAGCAGAATACTTTTTTTCACATTTCAGGGCTATGTCAGTTTAATACTTTCCACTTTTTTGTAGCTTTTTTGTCGTTTAAATGAATTTCTTCAAGGTGTGAGATAATCGTAGAACAACTTTGTAAAAGGTGAATAAATTTTTTCAAGATCTGTGGACCGATGGAATGTTTACCTCAGGTGAAGAAGTTGCATGGGTGTAATCGATTATTTTCATTTCTTTTGTAGTGATAGATTGTCTTTGTATAGACGTTCCCAGTGATAGTGGAGGGTGAGAGGGCATGGGGTTAACTTGGCCCCCCCCACGGATTTTTTTTTTACAAAGAACACTTCACAGGAAAGAAAGTAATTGGTATATTTATCCATCAAATATTAGCGCCAGAACCCTAAGAAAACAACACCATAAAATAAAGGCTAGGACGTCAAGACCGCGAGTAAGGCTTTTGGTATTTGTTTCTTTCCCAAGATCATGTTCAATGAGGCCAAAGTCGCATTCCCCTCCCCCCCCAACCACGAAAAGCTGGATGCACCGCTGGACCATCGCTTGGCTGGTTACAGAGTCTCAGCGGTTGTTTCATACAACTCCTATTCTTAGAGATTTGCGCTGGCTTAAACCTTGTAAAGTTTCGTATTGATTTCATGAACTGGATCGTGGTTTTCAAAATGTTTACATGGCCACGTCCCAATCTGGTCATGTGAGCTCATTACATCTAGAAATTGACATCTATATGGCCATGGGTTCACTTGTGAAATTTTACTGAAACATCCCCAAGGTAAAACGAACCATTCACCGAGAATCAACTGTTTGCGTCAGCTACATCCACATTAGTTTAACCCCCGACGCAACTGTATGCATTCACTTGACTTGTTTTCAAAATTAGATTCAACTTTCCGAACTAGACTCGAGAGCTGTTCTGGGTTGGATCCGGCTTTGAGTAGTCAAGTTTTTTGTTTTGATTTCAAATCGATCTTGCCCGGATTTTCCTTTTTTTTAGGTTGCAGTGGGTTTTGTTCGAGTTGTCTCCATACCATAGAACCACTTGTGTCTGCATTGTAGCCAGCTCTCAGCCAGAGCTATAGGGAGAGAGTAGCACCGTCTTCAGATTTTGGAAACAAAATGACGGTTTATTGCACACACCAGTTGGTTTCCAACAATGGTGGCACTCATATCGCGACTCAGTCTACGGCTGTGCTCAGAGTTATCCTTGCAACAAGCCCTTCCATGTTCCATATGCCAACCTAAATATATGCATGTATATGATTGCGCACGTGGTTTCCTGTTTTTCTAGCACGGGTATTGACTTTACCTTTTCCTCTGTTCTTTACTCGCACTTCCCTCTACATTCTGCATTCACATATCCTGTACTTGCATGTAATGTTAATTGTGGCATCCAGGTCTAGTTTTAGGGATAAAACGGATTTTCTTTCCTAAAAACGACTGTCAAAAGTTTCATCCCTGAAATAATCATTACCACAAAAAGGCCGAAGCACAGGTGCTAGTTTTTTTTAAGTTTCCAGTTCTCTCAATCAAAAAGGAAGAACAAGGAAACGTGTCTATCGGCGCTGGATAGGCTATGCAAGTGATTCTTCACTTTGTGGTGTGTATCTGTTAAAAACTATTTTGCTGTGGCATGCACATTCTGGGAGAAGTTTATTTAGGACATTGGAAGAAAAAAATAGTAATCCGGTACGTACGGATTATTATTTTTTATTTATTTTTTAACATGTCCTAAATGCACTTCCATATATTCTGCCTTATTTTCCCCTCATGTGTTTGTTTCTGCGTCCTCTTGTAGTCAGACTTTGTTAAATTCTTGTTTCTCATTCTATTCATTTGCTCAAAGCTGCACGCCTGGCGGCAACCATCGCTCTCATCGTTGGTTGTATTGTCTTCATTGTCGCTGTCGTTGGTGCCAGTCTATATTTCATCAGTAAGAGGTACGGACATCTCATCGACACGTAAGATCATGTTGACTTCAAGCAGATATGATTTCTGAGCGAGGTTTGAGGGTGGGGCTGGACTGCCCCTGGTGCGTGACAACGAAGGACTCTTGAATGGAGGCGGGGCCAACCTTTCCCCAAGAACTACGACCTTGTTCCTCTTTCAACATAAAAATGAAAGGAACTTCGTCAAACCCATTGACTAAGTGCCCACATCTGCAAGTCTGAAATCCGTTACATCTCCTGCTTCAGTCGGAGAGAGTCTCCTCGGTATTACGTTCCGAGGGGAATGCCTTCGAGGGAGTTAGGCTTATTTTTAGGTGCTGAAATAATGCACATAGCATTCTGACACTGTTTCCTCTCCTCTCCAACGTATTTGAAAATGCCTTCCAGATATGACAACCCATGAATAGAAATGAATTTGCCATTGATGGACAACAAATTTGTCTCTATTAAGCATTTGACTTTATTCATAGCTTGAACAAAATGTATAATGATTCAGAAAATTGATAGAGGAGTTATTAGTATCTATAACGATTATGAAAAGGCGGTTGAAGGAGTGAGTTCTCCTGGGGAAAATTTGAATATGTGGGAGGTCCATGATTTGCCAACCTTTTCTGTTTAATGCAGAGTCTTTAAGACCATCAGAGCGAGAAATTCGGCGGATCCGGAAGAGAGAAGTAAGAGAAAAAAATTCATAGATACACAGTGTGTGAGAATCATGGCTCCATTGCTACGACTTTTTTTTTTTAAAGCCAATGCATTTTTATTTACCGCACGTTGCTTTACTCGTTTCTGGAATTTTGCTTTAATTTTAGATGGACAAATTTTTATCTCAGTGCAAACGGTTCCTGTTTTGATCTAACCATCCTCCATTGGCGGATCGGAGCAACAGTTTTGTTTGTGTTTGTTTTGGAAAATAGTGAGAAAACGAGAAAATGTTATTTTCCTCCCCCTACAATTTAGCATGGGCCCTCAGAAAGGCTATAAAGGGTTGCAGATAGAAATGTCCTTGTTTTGGTTTCTTTGCCTGCCCCCAAAGCTTACCCCCTTGTCCAGTTTGGTTATGGGTCCGACCTTGCAATCCTAAGGCCAGATTTTGTATTCAGGAAATTAACTGATACACTGGTACCTGAGAGGAGGATGCATATTGCAATCCATTTTGATTTCTGAGGTACTGAAGATGTGTATACAGTCTACCGATGAGGACTCCATGTCTGTCTGTTTGTCTGTCTGACTCAAATGTGTACCGGGCGCGGTACGTACATATTTCAAACGGTCCTTTATTCATACTAACCATCCTCTTTGAAAATGTAATTCCTGCTCTTTCTGTCAGGAATGTTTTGTCTCCATTTCCATATGGGTGTTGTCTTTATCTCGATGAGCATTTTGTTATTTGGCCCTTAGACTGTAATAGTAGCCAACGGCCTGAAGACCAGTGCGAGGAGTCAGTGATACAGCCGTCTCAACCGGCACCAAACTCGAGCCTCGAGGAGGATGAGAGTGACGTGAACGAGCCATCACTTGGAAATGCCGTCGATGAGGCTGCTACCCTGGCGAACGTGAACGGCCATGCTGAAGGAACCGAGGCAGCAACCAGCGAAGCAGCGATAGCAGAGGCGGAACCCGTAGCAGACGGGCTACCCCGAGCAGGCACGGTCCGCCGGAACAAGCGGGACGAACTGCCGCCGACCCTCCCTCGGCCGAAGTGCTCCTGGGCTGAGGACGAAAATGCTTACTGCGAGCTTGGGGGCGGGCCTGAGCAAAATCAAACGCTAGGTGAGGCGAACTTTTTTGGTAGTTCAGAAGTTGAGGGCGTATAGTTGGAACTGGTCTCAACCTGTACTTTTAAGCTATAAATCTACCAAAGTGAATGTTAAAAACTAACCATGTCCCAGTATCATTCATCCTACTCTGTAGTCTTTTATTTTCTGGACATTCTTATTTCTTCAAAAAGTTCTGAGAGTGTAGATCATGGAATGCCCTTTCTTACATCCCTCAAAACGTGGGCATTCAAACAAACAGCAAAAAGTATTTCATGTATTAGACAGTTTTGGAAATGACAACCCTTGTTGCCTTGCCTTCATTACTTTTTTTTTCAGCTTCCAAACCAAAGCCTAATGTAAAGCCCCGACGCTTCACCCGTAAGCCATCCTCCACTACAAGGACAGAGACGGCTGGAAATGAGGCCAGTAACAAACGAGAGGATCCATTATATCACGTCTTGAACCCTGACCAGTCTGGGGAAGATTAGCCTGCTTCATCTCCAATGAGGGACCAGATTTCACGAAATGTGTCATAATGCAATCATTTTCAGGGTTTTTTGTGTTAAAGTACAAAGACTTAACAGATATTTCCTACATTATACAGTGGACGCTTTTTCGTTGGAACAGTTCCATTTGTTTATACCGTGTAAGTCTTTTAGCTCAAAAATGGCTCTGGTAGATGTAATGTAATGAAGCTTTAGCGGAATCCCAACTTCCCCGAATTCTATACTTTTGACTGTGAATTCCCGGAAAGCCAGGTCTGCCAATGTGAGCTCAGTCTTTGAGATCACGCTTGTACAGTTATTTTGATCCTTGCTTCCAAATAATTATGTACAATACGAAAAGCCGAATATACGTCGTCCCTGCGTATCCCGTGTGAGTATTAATTTCCAGGGATAATGATTTAACCTTTCTGTATCCAAGAATTTCGTACATGTACATGTACCAATTGTGATAATGAGGAAATAATGGTACAAACCTAATGAACTTATGTTAGGTAAAAAATTGCACTCTCTTGTATATACACGAAATACAGCCAAACTGGGATGTGACAATAACCATACTTGCGTTTGATAACGACTCTAGCCCTAAGAAGAGGGGGCCGGTAAGTGCAGGTAATAGGGACCATGAAGCTAATTTACATAAATTGCATAAAGACTGATAGAACAATTAGAACCGAAAAGGAGCCGGAAACGTCATCGAGCACACTCATCACAAACAGACAAAACCAGCGAGTTGAACGCTGTGATATTCAAAACTCGACACCCCTTTGAACACTGTTCTACGAGAGGTGTTCTGTATAAAATGATTTATTGGTAATATATTTCCTAAAAATATATTATCTAATAGATCTAAGAAAAGATCTAATAGATCTTTATTAGCAGGAGGATGTTGAACCACTTATAATCAAAGAAAGGTTTGTTTGGGTTTGATGTTTATCACACACGTGTTTCTTCACACCACTTTTCAAAGTTCCATTAGTGCATGGCTGACAAGGAAGGCTTGTTCTTTGTACTTCCCTAGGTTTGATACATATTTTAAAGATTTTTATAAACCCGAATTTTTATCGGTGTTATTATGAAGCTTTATTCGTAAGACTGTTCAATTATTTTGTATATAATCGGTTCGATTTGACAAAAGTGCAAAGTTTACAATAAGCTATTGATGTTGACGCAATCTACTGGAGGTGTTCAGATTGGGGGTGTGCATTTGCGGGTATTTTTAGAACCGGGTACCCGTTTTTTGTTAACATCGGGTACCCGGAAAAGAGATCGCCTGATAACAAATGGCATTGCGCGCGACCCGGTGGATCATGTACCCGAAACACGGTTCTTTTTGGTACATAGGAAGCAAGCAGAACATTGTTCTAAACGTCGGAGTTAATCTCTCCTATCAAACGAAATTTTTACCTTCAGTTTGCAAATTTTTTGTGGGTGTATGAAACAGAAAAAAAAATCTTCACGGGGAACGTCAGAAAAGAGAACAGAGCTGCAAACCACTTACATGATACACGCACCTGCAAACGCTCAAAGGAAATGTCCCGGATGCTGCTTGACCACGTACACCATTGTAAAAAGTTGCTTTTCTAATAGA